TTTCTGATGATGAGACCCAGGTTCAAATCTCACCATGGTCGATTTGTTAGGAAGGAGACTTCTTGTTGTTATCGGACTGGAGGGATCGCTCATTCCCTCTGTTTTCCACTGGTTCCACTTGCTATCTTCCACACGTATCCACATAAAACTGTTCTCTGACTCTCTAACCCTCTGCCTCTGATGGCTCTCGGGCCTTCTACAGAGTGAACATCATTGTTAAAATAGACCATTTCATGAGGTTATTTAAGAAAGTTTACAATATACAAGAGAGATAATTCAAAATTTGTTACGGAGAAATCGGTTGCAGGTGTAAAGTTAGCAATCACAAGTAATTTTGAAATTGTATTGCTTATTATAATTCGTATTAACCCCTTGAGCCCTGTGTTCCTGAATAATTGTAACCCTTCTGACTCAGCTGCTGAGTCAAAATTCACAAATAATTGGTATGTAATGTTTCACGGCAGATATAAAAATAGGTACAAGTATTTACCCACCGTTCAACCTGTAGCATGGCATTAAGTAATTTTTCTCTATCACCGGTAAAGCGGTGGTCAGAGTTCATAGGGATAATGATAATATGGCTGTGAATGCTGGACTATTTCTTCATAGATGAAGATGATAGTTCAGGTAAGAGAGATGTGGCGTCACAGATTCAAATGCTTCTTTCAAAGATCTCCCTAGATATGGACAATTTCGTTCTGTCAATATTGAGTTTTTGCAAACCGCAGTTGAGTAAAAAATCCATATCAAACTGCAGGAGAATTGAAAAACAGTTCAATACAAGTTGCAATTCGATCATAAGACTCATCGGAAACTGTCTAAATTTGATCAATGCACAACTAATCTTATGACTGCTTTTTCCGATTAATTAAAGTGTCGTTTGACGAGTACACATGCTACTGAAAAATTCCAGAATCGTGGGTTCAATTGAATTGAAATCTGATCCTCTTGTCGTCGGTGAAGAGACATATTTTCATATAGAAGCATGAAAAGATCAGTCACAACGGTCTTTGATTTGAAAAATCATGTATTCGGTTATCACATATGAAATGACGCATTTTTTGGTTGGTTGTTGATCCGGTCGTCTAACGATGTAATCTCCTTAGTATATAAAAAAAAAAAATCTTGACTTATTCTTGATTCTTTTTCTTTTCAGACAATTTTTTTTTCAATATATTGTTACTAATAATCACAATAAAAATTTTTGGTTGGATGAAATTGATTACAATGACGAGTAATCTTATTGTATGAGTATAAACTGGAAAAAGATTCTTTTTTGCATCGTCATTACATGAAACGAGAAATGGATACACTTTGACAACGGTAAGAGAGTAGGCCAGTGCTTAGATTCAAGTGAATTACTAAAACAAAACCTAAAACCTCCACTGCACCGTAACAAGTTAATAGTTACTGTATGGTGGTCTTTCAAATAAATTATTCATTATTCATTCTTGAACAATAACAACAACCTCGTATTGCTGAATTGAAGTCTGATCATCTTGTCATCGGTGAAGAGACATATTTTAATATAGAAGCCTCAAAAGATTAGTCTCCACCGACTCTGATTTGAAAAGTCATGTATTAGGTTTTCACATATGAAATGATGCATTTTTGGTTGGTTGCTGATCCGGTCGTCTAACGATGTAACCTACTTAGTATATAAAAAAATCTTGACTTATTCTTGACTCTTTTTCTTTCCAGACAATTTTTCTTTCAATATATTGTTACTAATAATCACAATAAAAATGATTACAATGAAAGAATGTCGAATAATCTTACTGTATGAGTACAAACCGGGAAAAAGAACCATTTTTCATCGAATTGCTACATGCGACGATAAATGGATACTGTTTAACAACAGTAAGAGAGTAGGCAAGTGGTTAGATGCAAGTGAATTGTTGCAGTATTTATATATATATATATATATATATATATATATATATATATATATATATATATGTAACTAGTGACCTAGCCCAAATGACTTGACTCACTTTATAGTCCACCAATAGAAGGTTAACCAATCAGAAGACGTAGACTATTCAATATTCGTGTATAAAGGCGGCCATTTTGTTTAATCTCTCCGGATGTCCAGTGCCAACTTGTCAGGCGAAGAGGAACAGAAGGAAGAACTACGCTCTGCTACTTTACCGGGATATCCACTGCTAGCCTGAACAACGCTTCCCTACTGTCTTCGAAATATTCACTGCTAACCTCTGGATTCTATACTCAAAGACGACCGTCATCATGAACAACATGGATTACCAAAACAATACCCAAAACCTCCACTGCACCCTAAAAAGTTAATCGTTACTGTGTCATTATCTTTCAAAAGGGCTATTCATTATTCATTCTTGCCTCAACGGTGAACAATAACAGCAACCTCGTATTGTAAAGTAATTGAGTATATGCACGAACAATTGAAAAAAAAAAAAAGAAACACCCTAGACTTGTGAATAGGGATGTCCCAATTTTGCTGCACGAGAACGCATGGCCCCAAGCTTCTCAGTCAAATGTTCAAAAGCTGCATATCCTGAATTATGACATTTTGCCTCATCCTCCATATTTACTTGATATCTCTCCTACTGTTTATCACTTATATAAGCATTTTGAGCTTTTCATACGCAATAAAACATTCTTCAATAAGGAAATCGAAATTTTTGAAATTTTTATGGCATCAAAGGATATGAAAATTTCTTTAAAGATGGGATCAAGAATTTAGAGGTTTATTGTAGAACATTCATCAATATGTTGCCTATTTCAACTAAATAAATTATTTACTTAACATTTCAGAAGCGTTTTATTCATTTCCTATAAAGTGCGTCATTCATATGTGACAACCTAATATTTGAATTAATACGAAAAAGTACCGAATGAAATTTAATTTAATCACAAGTATATTTTTCGTAATTAAAAACTGAAATTTTATTCATAATCTGTTTATAAAAATGGACGGATATAGAGGGTGAGGCAAAAGTCGCGTACCATAGTTGGTAATTAATCATGTTCTAAATGTCTAATTTGTTTTGATATTGTCTTATTTTGCAGAAACAATTTTGACGAAGTAAGATGGCCGAACTGGAAATTGTTTCTTTCAAATATTTAGGATCCTACATTTTGTCAATATTGAATATTTGAAAAACGTATGTGAATAAAACACGACGATTAACGCAACAGTTCAATACAAGATTCACTTCGATCATTGGACTCATCGTAAACTGTTTAAATTTGATCAATGAGCAAGTAATCATTTGATTATTTTTTTCCGCTTAATTAAAGTGTTGCTCTCTTCTAACCACTGACGAGTTCCCATAAAATCGAATATTGCCTGGATAGAATTCAAGCCATGGATATAAAGTGGGTTCTTTATAAACATGTCTCATAAAATGACAATGATTAACATCCATGGAAAAAATATCTACCCGCAAACCAGGATCATATCTAAAAAAAAAACAGTTATGCACTGTGTCTGATGGGTTATGAGGGGTGTGGTCTATCATAAAGAGTTAAAATAAAACGTAACTGTTAATGCTGAGGAGTATCTACTTCTGTAATGGGCTAGGACACTTCAAGACGTAGCTTATCATAGCTCTCCACAACCTTCTCGATTTTGCCATTCAGATCAGGCTTTGTTTTTTTTTCATTATCACACACTTTTCTACTATCTATTTACTGAAACTCCTTAAGTAATTTTACTTATGTCACTCTTAGCTTCAAGGTGTTCTGAGAGTGTCGAATTCTCCAAACCTTCTTTCCTTATTGTCTTTGAGAAATTTCAATACGTTCTTTCTTATTGTAAGTGTTTTTCTTATTCCATCATCCTTAAATCCGTTATTCTCGTTTAGCCCATAGTATTCTCTTCATACAGGAACACCTCTTCATCTGTGAGGAAATTATCTAGCATTTGCTGCCACAGCTCTTTTTTCTTTGTCTATAAACAAATTTTCCTGTTTCATAATACTTTGCTTAGCTTTTGGAACGCATCTTTGGCTACTCCAACACGCCTTTGGATTTCATTAAACTTAATTTCATACTTAAAGAGGTAATAACGCTGTATTGACTGTCTATTCTTACATCAGTTGTTGATTAGATAGCAGGGTTAGAATAGACTCTCTGAACTTGAAGGAGATTGAGATAAGAAAAATTCTGAATTTCACATTGTAAACACAGCAACGGGAACACATTTTACGATCTTCCCTGAAAATGCATTGCAGTTCACAGTTAAATAAGGATATTCTGTGAGATGTCTTGATTGCACGAGTCACGCGGGGAAATCATATTAAAAAATGATATGTACCTTGAAGTTTCTAAAACAAAGTTACTGACTTTAAGTTGAGTATTTCTGAAACAACTTGTGACTGTGTTATGTTTCCTTTCTCTTCGAGAATTATGCATACCGGCATAGCCTTGTCTTTGGCTTCTTCTTCCAGCTTTACTTGCAGACAAATATTCTAGGAAATGACGTGACTTCATGAATCCTAGCAAATAGCTACACCATGAATCTTAGAGTTGTCAATTATTCATTTCATCTTGGAGAATTTGACAATTTCCTGACAGAGAAAAACAGCGAGGAATATGCCTAACGAACTTGGGTAAATCGATGAGAGAGCAGGTTTTGGTTTGGTTAAATTTTCTTTAACGGCTTCTCAAACCTGATGGCTCATTTTACTCCAACCAGATGAATACATTTATTACATATACGCATACCTGATCGCCAAGGAAACATCTGTGGACGGTAATAAAGTCATAGGAAAAAAGTAAAAGAAAAAAAAAATTAATTTTGGCTTGGTAGAAAAAACACATAAAAGATGTCACGACTTGGTTTTGCGAGTGCCACGTTTGGTATACATGAACCCATTTCAGTAGAACTTTGAAACAAGTTTATTGTTAATAATTTCTATGGCAGGAAGCGTAAAAAAATTATTTTTCACTAAAAAAAATATTTCTCCCTAAATCAAAATATTATTTATACACCGCAGCAGGGTGATCCAAGATTTCCACGGCTCCCGTACGATCACCGAAGTTAAGCAACGTCGAGCCTGGTCAGTACGCAGATGGGTGACCGCTTGAGAATATCAGGTGCTGTAAGCTTGAATGCGCGGATGGTGTAATGGTTAATGGCTCGGATTTGTTAATCGGAGAGCCGAGTTCAAATTCAAGTCACGTTCGTTATATTCATTTACGCGCAAATACCCTTGGGAAAGACATGAATCCTCTCTTCTCCCTCCAGCTATGGGTTAATTAGTAAGCATTGTATCACTAAACTATTAATAACTCTAACAATAAATTGCGTACGAAAAATATTTATATAACAGTATTAAATAACCTATATATGTTGATATGCCGCTAAACAAAAACAACCAAAAAACAAAACTTTAGGGTTATGGGCACTAGGTTTAGAGTACTGATAGGGTTAGGGTATAAAAAGCCTATTAAAGCAAAATGCGGGAAACGGTGCTGACAATGTGCTGTTTCTTTTTTTTTTCCTGGCAGATTTCCTGTGTCATTTTTACATAGATTCGAAATATTAGTTGGATGATGCCTGCCGTTTCAGAGTTAAACAATTTAAAAAAAACTTAACTCTGACATTGATACAAGCGTTTGTAGAATACTTTTAAAATATCAGAATAAAATACAGGTTGGTCCGAAAGTCTTGTCACCCCTACCAAAAAATAATGAGAATAGAAAATAATGAGAACAGTAATACAAAACACATGTACTGGATTAAGTTTATTCACTTTCATTGAAGCTGTCACACAGAAGGTCTGTATAGACACCATCATTTTCGTGGCAAAAAATGATGTGACACCATGTCCTGCGTGATATTTTGCGAGGCTGTGCTTTGTTGATTGAAGCAAAGGCGCCCTGAACGCCGTTCTTCAGCTGATAGGTATTCTGGCATCGTTTATGTCAAAATTTTCTCCCTGATAATACACCCACAGTTGGTTGAAAAAGAAAATTATATTATGTAGGGGTCAGAAGACTTTCGAACTATCCAGTACATTGAACCTTAGAATTATCACAAGCCGAATGCTGACGCAAATTTAAGTTGTTTGGGTCCATCCAGAGCTACATCTGCGGGTGCATAAAAATCAATCCGTACGAACGGGCAAGCTCTACATACAAGGCAAAGAGATTTCATCCAAGTGTCAGATCAGATAAAAATAGAGCACCGCTGCCATAAATGGACAAATGTTGCTCAGTCTTCACATTTCGGCCTTGATAGAATTAAAAAAAAAGGTTTGATGAAATAATTTAGACCCTACAACCTCTTCTGCACAGACAAAAACGTTGTAAGCATCTCCGTTATCTGAATCGCTGTTTCCCTGGCAAATACTAGCTATATTCATTAATTTCACCTGTTCAGACCTTCTCAGCCAAGCCGTTCCCATTGAAACGAATCATCCCCATTCACTTCATATTCCATTCGTAACGAGGAAGTTCCATTCGGACAGCTTCCTCTCAAGAACTTTCATTTTATGGAAGAAACTACCAAAAGGATGCTTCCTCGATCAATAGAATTTTAACCTCTTCATGTATTTCTTACATATCCTAATAATTTCCTTTTATTACCGCCTGCCCTTACGTACATAAAAAATCTCATTCATTAAATATCTACCTTGAGTCGCTCTTGAGGCTTTTACTGGGTGAAAATTTATTAAATAAAAAACAACAAAAAGTAAAATAAAAAAATAAACATTCGATCGAAACTACAATTCTCCGATCAAATTGGTTTGGTTAAAATTTTAATTTTTATTTGACAGCATGTGAACCGTATGTTTAAATCTTAGCCAGGAAGAGAAATCAACACTATCTGTCTTGAAGAGAGCCATAAGAAGATTCAGTAGTAGCCTTGGTGTAACCACCGGCGGATACATCAAGTGGCGACTGTGAGGCACTTGCACCGTTTACTAGTCCTTCGATAAACCAATCCTTAGTTTACGCACACTAGAATCCCAACCGCTTCAGGAACCAGATATCTGCACCGAAAGAAAACTAAACTCAATACTTAAGGACACTATCAAGTAACTGTAAGATATAGTTAACACGTAATATTAATTTAAAGTAGGAAATATTTTAAATATGCATAGTACACTGCGTTTAGAGTTTAGGGAATGTTAATTTTCTTTAGATAGCGGTTGTTAAAATTGTCTGACGTCGAAGTAAACAATAGAGCCGCCATTTTGTTTAAATCTTATCGACCGTGCTTCCCTTAATACTATAAAGTAAAATGTCTAATGATTCTTCCTAACCACAAAAATTCGGAGATGCTAGTATGGCTTCAACTTGTTATGCCTGTAGTTTGTACAGCTATAGATTTTTATCGTCCGTTATTTTTAAATGGTTATTCACATGAATTGTAATAAAATCGATCCTCGGAGGATAAAAAGTAGAATTGATGGGGAATCATTTCTAAAAACAAAACAAAAAAAAAAAAACATCTTAAAGAAATTGTCGATATCAAATGTTACAGATGGCTATCGTTCAAATCTCTTTATTAAAAAGAAAAAAAAATAATTCTTTATTCCTCGAAGTCTATTTTAACTTTACCAAATTAACTATTGTGTTCAAATTCAATAAGCGACGTCTTAAAATAACTTCGATATTATTTTCTGTTTATTTGGAGATTTATAGAAGAGAAAGAAAGAAATAAGAAAGAAAACGAAACATAGCTTTGTTTTGGACTTTGTTTGAAAGCTTTAGAAGGAGGCCAAAAAGTAGTAAGAAAAAGTTTGTAAGAAACGAAAGAAAGAATGAATAACACACACACACACACACACACACACACACATATATATATATGGAAGAATATGATATAAGCATTCTTTATATAGGAACAATGTTGGCAATTGAATGATAAGTGGAAAAAATAAGCTACGTCCTCTAAAAGGATTTCAATGGACTGAAGTAAGGTTCTCATTGATGGAATTAATATGCACCAAGGAGAAACGCTGAGAACATGGGGGCGGTCTTCAAACATTTAAGAAATTATTTTTGATTTAAAAATATTATCAATTTCTGGGAAAAATATTTTAAAATAATAAAGATTAAAAAGAAATTAAAACTAAAAAAATATTTACTTTAGCGTTCCGTAATCTTCTACGCACTCACACCTACGTGGATATAATTACATCAATAAGAACATTACATTATTCAGATTAAGTACTTTCAGAGGATAAAATGCGTTACGCAGAATGTTTCACTTTGTCAAAAATCACATAATATATATATATATATATATATATATATATATATATATATATAGTCTTAAGGTGTGCTGTATTTATGGAATAAAGTGCTCAATATCAGAGATAGAGCGTGTGTAAATATAAAAGTAAACATAGAAGTCAACACTTAGAGGCGACAGTCTGTTTTATGCTATATGCAATCGTCAGGCCACGTGTGCTGTTATTTTTCTCGGCTATTTATATATATACGGGTCAGTGGTGCATTGTGGGTAGTCTATTATGGCGGTTATTTTACCGGAAGGTGTTTATTAATAATAAAAAGACAATGGACCCAAATAAATAATAATAGTATAGTAGATAATAAACAAAGTAGCAAACCATTATGACCAAAATATTAGTTAGACTAAAAAATCAAACCAAAAAATCGAACGAAAAAAATAGCTATAACTGTTATATAACGATAAAAAAAAAGAAAATAAAAAATAAATAAATACTACGTTACTAAAAAATCGAAAACCGGAAAGAGAAAATATACAAGTAAAATAAATTAGCCTAAATTCATCCAAGTAAATAAATAAACAAACCAATCCCGATAAAGTTACCGTTAGAAAAACCAAGTAAAGATAATCAACCCAAAAAAACACAAATTAAAAACTGTTCCTGCCAAAATAATAGTTAGAATAAACTACAACAATCAACCCCAAAACCGAACAAATAGCTTTAATTAAATTCTCAAACCAAAACACAACTATTAAATAAGTGATATAAACAAATTTTTACTACGTTAATAAAAACACCGATTAAAAAAAAATAAAATAAAATAAAATAAGAAACAAAAAATAAATAAAAACTAGCAAAATAATTTAACCCAAATATATAAATAAACACCTTCCGTTAAAATAACCGCCATAATAGACTACCCACAATGCACCACTGACCCGTATATATATAAATAGCCGAGAAAAATAACAGCACACGTGGTCTGACGATTGCATATAGCATGAAACAGACTGTCGCCTCTAAGTGTTGACTTCTATGTTCACTTTTATATTTACACACGCTCTATCTCTGATATTGAGCACTTTATCCCATAAATATAGCACACCTTAAGACTATATATATATATATATATATATATATATATATATATATATATATATATATATATATATATATATATATGAAAATAGGAAAGAAAATAAAAAAAAGAAACGTTGGGTGCATAATCCGGGGTTCCTTTAGTATTTTTGTTTTTATTTTTAAGAAGACAGTGCTCCATACAGAAGTAGAGCTTATATTATAATAATATTTTTTGTTTAAAAATATGATTCCTTCGCTACATAAGAGTTCTCATGTTTCAAATACGAGAGCCGAAATATCCAAATAATTATTAAAATTAAGTTGGATTGTGGTGTTTAGTCCCGTTTCATCTTCAAACGAAATTTTAGGAATTTAAGAACTTTATTCTTTGTGATAGTTCGCTGTACATATAAATGCTTTTCAAAATCTAACCAGGGACATTTCTTTAATGGTCGAAGCCCAGGAGCTTTTCAGCCATACTTATAAAGCAATGTACAGTTATATAAGATTCTTACTTTCAAATGTTTAACTATCTTTCAAACTTGTTTATTCATTTTTGTAGAAAAAAGACAACCAGATGTTACCAAAAAAACAATCAGAATAAAATGTATTAACAAAATAAATTACTAGACGCAGAAAAGCTAAGTTATGACGGTGAGGAAAAGGGCCTAAACCGAGATGTTACGTCAGGACCAATAACACTGCATATTCTTTCTTAGAATCTCAAAATATACAGCAGCAGCAGACTAGAGATGCCGGCAATATTCACTGAAAAGACTAATGGTAGATGTATATATATGTAATAGACATTCAGGCGAAA